GCTAGTATACCATCATCCTCGTACCGACATGGCACTAATACCATTGTATTTATAAACGAAATGCTAATACTATAGTTTTGCGCTGATTTGTGCGCTTATACTAAGGTTTTGTGCGCCTTTCGCTTTGGAGAAATTTAAACTTTTTAAATGGGGTGCCAACTTAACTCAGCGCCCCTTACAATCGGAACGATTTGAAACCTATGTCATAATTTTGTGTCTATTTTATGCAACCATAATACATAACTTCTTGAAACAAATAAAGATCTCGCTGTCATATTAATTATTCATTTGATTATTGTTGCTTTGGATTCACAAAAATAAATCTCTTTAACTCCTTAACTTCTTTAACTGTTACCGGCACTATACCAATTGGAAATATCAAGTTTTTCTTTAGTTGAATACATCGCACACGAACCGAAATTAGAATAGGGAAGTCAAAGCGATAATATTCAAATTAATTAATATGACAGGCAGATCTTCATTTGTTGTAGGTAGTTATTTTGGTTGCATAAAGTTAGGTCCTTCAGAAGCCTCTTTATCATTTAAAAATAGACATAGAAAATGCCTATAGGAAATCCCTATGTCTACTTCTTAACATAAATATCACTGTATATTCCAATTTCCAATTCTTGATCATTTAATAACTGAAACTTATCAAATTTAAAATTAAATATATTAATACCTGCTCTTCAGGCCGTCGCAGACGATATCATTTTAATTGATCATTTAACTTTAATAATAAATGACCACGGATAACCCGTCGTTAGCACAACTTCTGGGTGAAGTGTAGCTATACACTGTGTTCCAGATAAGGATGTATATAATGGGGATTTTGGAAACAATATAATGTATGAAAATGGTCAAATTGGAGACAAGAAATTTGCCGATTTCGTTTTTATTTTTTTCTGATGCTATTTGAACAGATTGCCACTTATTGATTTTTAGAAGACACCGTTGAGACGTTTCATTTTGGAGAAATCATTACCAACTTTATATTTTTATATGGCCGGTAAAAAAGTAGATACTATATTGAGTAGCATTTTTTACGAACAAAACGATGTACGGGACACAAAAAAACAAAAGTTGGAAACTATTGGTTTTAACAAGATGGTGTATGCGCGCACAATGCCATAATCGTGCAAGAATACCTATTGAATAAACTTCGAGGAAAGTGGAAAAAATCGCTTTGCACATACAAAAAGAAAGCTCGACTTTGTCATTTAGACATTTTCTGTCTTGTTCTTTTCTTAGTTTCTTAAGAATTAGTTATTTGTTCCATATGTTATGTATTGTGCCAAAAAAGTTCTATTTTTATACGTGTGATAAATGTTTTTTTATAAATATATTCAATTGTATGCGCCCGTCCCTAGACCAAATGCTAAATCCACCACTGTTTGCATAAGACCCTGCGTAGGCAATGTTAACATAAAGGCTAGTTTACACGCTACTATAAATCGGACAAGATGTGAAGGTACTTACCTCCCGAAAGATTTCTTATGGAATTGTTGATAATAGCAGATACGCAATTTTGGTATTTATTTCCATGGGCCCTTATTGTATGAGATGGCCAGTCGAACCCATTGAAGCGAATACGTCACCTCTACATAGAGGAGTTACGTCACGGGTGAGTTTAGGTACCTACTGTAGATTGTCGGATTTGAGGAATTGAATGATCTGACCCATAATTAGTTCCTATTAATGACTTACCTACATCTTTCTCTGCATATACCGTGAACTAACGGAGATTCGTCTGAATTTTGAATGGTCTTGAAATGTGATTTTTTTGTTGAAAAGGTCATTGAATACCCACCATACCCTCCACAACTCGTCTGTTTATAGTTACAGTTTTTTTACCCTCTTTTAATGTGTGAGATGGCGGAAACAAAAATAGCAATAAAAGGATGCGTGCGTAATATTCTACACATTTGAAATAGGTCTACTATTTCACTTTCACTATAAAAACTTTGCCATGAATTCAGTATGCTAATTTAAGTGCTTATCTAGCATTTTACATTCATTTCAACTTTCCTCCGTGTCCGTGATAATCTCTCGCTACATTTTCAATTCACATCGTTGGCCTAATGTCACGACAATGTGTTACCCACCCCAGCTTATCTGAGATAAAACATAATCCTAAAATAGGTTTCAATTAACAGTATTCACATAGTAAACCATTAAAATATTATACAGAACATACTTGATAATTATTGTTTACTAAATTCAAACTTATTTTCCCAAATTTATATAAGTAACGAAAAATCCAACTAACTAATAATATCAATAGATACGTCGCATTTCACAAAGAAGACAAAGTATCGGAAGTTAGACAATGGAAATCATCTATAACTGTTAACATTGTTTCTAATGTTCGAATGATCGAATAAAAGTTCCTCCGGAACTTATGGAATTCCCTGCACGCATTGATTTACAGTGGTTGTTTAGACGTAAACAACCTAAACTTTGGCAAGGTAATACAAAATGTACTCGTATACGAGTCGATTCCGTATATCTTCCTTTGCACGTCATTACCTGAACAAAACGACGTACCAACGTAAACTTACTTTCGTTTGTTAGGCAACACATTAAGCATGTAATTTATTTTAGTCGCAACAGTTGGCAGCATTTCCCTACGTTGCACTTAAATGTTTAAATTACGTCACAGAAAATGATGACGTGCAACGGAAGTTATACGGAATACAGTGTACCTCAAGTCTCTGATACATACTATCTCGTGCAGATCGTGTACCGCAGGTTTTTACTAATATTATGGAATTAGGTAAATGCCTGAGCAAATGTTATGGGAAGTGGGAACGTCAACAGTATGTCCGGATTTCGTTGTAATTGCCGGGAGGAGAAGTGCCGTTATTAGCTTATTACACATCTGAATTTGCGGTTTTCACGCTCTTTCCGTACATTTTGACGAAACAAATGAACCCCATGTCAAATTTTGATTTAACAGAGCGATATTGAAAATGTTTAGTTTCTGGTCATCCCTCGTATTTCGGATATGCCTAAATTTATCAAAAAGGTGAATACGAATCTTGATCTTTTATTTAGATTTCAGTGGTGTAGCTTTTTTTGCACAATAGATATTTTTTAAATAATAACCACACTTGTTTTTAAAAATAATATATTTTTGAAAAGCTCAAATCACGCTCAATCAATATAAAAAATATACAGGGTGTTTTATGTAAACAAATTTTGTTATTATTTCAAAAAATATTTGTTTGAATACACCACTGCACCATTAGGTACTTAGAAAAATCAAAATCAGTGTTTACCTTTTTGATAGACATAACCGATATACGAGTTATTTCCTAAAATTAAACATATTCAAAATTAACCTGTGATTTAAAAAAAAACAAAAATTAAACACATACGTTCAGACAGCTAGGGGAAAGCTTAATGGGAGGCTTACCTTAGTTTTAGCATTCACACCCGGACCCCAGCTATCCCCATTTTAAAATTATAATATGACCCCATCAACCAGGCCATCAAGTGACAAAGGCTAAAGGTCATAAATTTCTCTTTACAAATGTACCGAAAAAATCAAATTTGTATTGTATAATAATGCAGACAAAATATTATTTTAATCTATGCAAATAATAACTTGTGCTAGGAATACCACTGACTATACTTTCCATTCATTTGACAACTTAATTAGCTCCAGCAAGTATTCAAGGAAAACTTGTAAAAATCGTCTTTAGACATGTTTGTACAGAATTTTGTTTAAAATGTTGTCAATCGATGGGAGCTGCAAATGGAGTTTCCCAGGCGAGGGTTGTTAGGGTGCAACAAATAATGCCAAATCAAAGGTGTATATGAAGTCGACATTTTCGCAATTCGAGAGAGCAGAGTTTCTGGTATATTTGTCATATCAATTTGATTCCTCCTGCAAATTAACGAAATTGGTTTTTATACAGGGTGAGGTTTTTAAAACGATATTTCGAAAATGGTTTAAATGATTTATGTGAAATTTAAATGACAATAACGATATGATGCGAGAACTTTTTTACATTTTTCTTTTTCCAAATTTTTAGGGGGGAGGGGGGGGGCGACTTTCACATTTTAAATGCAATGATGCTCTTTTATTTTTAAAATTTGAATCTACATAAAAAATATGTACCTATGTGCTTACGGAGTTATAGTGATTTTAGGTATTACAATAAAAAACCTAATGACAAATTTTTCATCGTCTGTTACGCTTAATGTTTTTCGGCTACGTAGACTAACGGGCTAAAAAGTTACAGCCCAAAAACTGCCCAAACCTCCAAAAAAGGTTTTGTTTTATAATTCTTGTTATGTTACAAAGAACATATGAATGTCCGGTTTTCTGTGTTAGTAAATATTTTTTAAATTTCAGGTAACTATGCAGATGAATTAAAAAAATTGCGCATGCGCAACCCAACTTTTGCTTTTGCGCAATTCCAATTTTTTTTTGCTGTTAAGATATTTAAATGAAATTCTTTATGTAGGCACCTCAAATAAAAGTAAAACTGATCCCGATCAAAAAATTTGTTTTGTGCATGCGCAATTCGATTTTTGATTTTTAAGGGGCTTAAGGTGTGTTGTAAAAATGATGTATGCGCAAAGATCTCGAGGATCGTTCGGTATTCAGTTGTATCGGATTTTTTGATCTGATAGCCTTATCTCTATTTAGTTTAGAGAAAACGAGGCAAACGAAAAGCTTGAGCAATTAGAGCGACTGACGAGGTGCATTCATGTGCGCTCTGGTGTCGATTAGGCTTAATTAATTTTATATAACGGTGCGTTTCAAAATTAATGAAATATAAAGTAATGCGGAGTTGGATCAATTAATTATTTAATAGTCACCGAGCAAGGAATTAAAATAACAGTTCTCAAACACTCGTAACAATTGAAAATGGAACACTAGTTAACACTTGGCCTACTAAATGTGTGATGTGCAAAGCGAAAATGAAACTAGTTTTCGTAGGTATAAGACTGACAATTGAAGTAATATCATTTTATTTCTATTTCAGATTCTTGGCAATATGGTGGCCTTTAAAATGTCAGATAACGAAGAGACGTGCTCGAATAATGATCATTCTTATATGGTTCATCGCTTTAACTACTACGGTGCCGTGGGCGATTTTTTTCGATTTAGTTGTAATATTTAGTGATGCTCCTGAAGTACAAATTTGCATCGAAGTATGGCCTGATTCTATGAATGGGGCCTTATACTTTTTAATAGCTAATATGGTATTTTGCTACATTCTACCCATGATATTAATAACTATGTGTTATGTTTTGATATGGATTAAAGTATGGAGAAGAAATATTCCCACTGATACTAAAGACGCACAAATGGAACGTATGCAGCAAAAATCCAAAGTGAAGGTGGTCAAAATGCTAGTCGCGGTAGTAATACTATTCGTGCTCTCCTGGTTACCACTATACGTAATTTTTGCTCGCATTAAACTGGGAGGTAATATTGAATCTTGGGAGGAAGATATTCTCCCCATCGCCACTCCGATAGCGCAGTGGCTGGGAGCATCGAATTCCTGCATAAATCCCATCTTATACGCTTACTTCAATAAGAAATTCAGAAGAGGTTTTATGGCCATTATTAAAAGCCGCCGCTGCTGCGGACGCCTACGCTATTACGAAACTATTGCATTGATGTCTTCATCAACCAGTATGCGCAAATCGTCGCATTTCTACAACAACAACTCGTCATCGCGCCGAATTCCACCAATTCAAGACAACGCAGTGGCGTACATATATAACAACACTGGAGTCTAAATTTTGGCCTCCTGCCACCTTGTGGCTTGGTCTAATTTTTCACGTACCTACCTTTCGAGAAAGGTTATTAGAATGTCAAGTTTTCACAGAAACGCGGGCAGAGCAGAACGTAATATTTTTATGCAGGTTGGCTCAAGTATTTTTGAGAAACGATGTGTAATTGTTAGAATATATAGCAATTAAGTTAAAAATCTATAACGACTTGGAGATTTGGTAAAATACAACTACACAGATCTGCAGAAACTCATCTTGATAAGAACGAAAGGACTTTTTGTACATAATGCAGTTAAAATAACGTTATTTGTTAAGACACTATTTAATTTCGATTACCATTTTGATTTTAATAGTATTTTGCAGGTAACAAAATGCTTTAACACTAGATTGTTGCAAATCTATTGCAAATGACATATAGACATCTTATCATTTTGCTTTTGATTTTTGAAAAATTCCCGTAAGGAAAGATAACAACGAAAACTAAATGTAGTAAGTTATATTAACTTCCAATAAATAATACTTAATAATAATACTAATAACAATATAGTCTTAGATAACATTTTTCTTGTTGTTTTAAAAATTTAGGAAACTGACAAAAATTTTTAGCTATTTAAAAAGAATGTTTTGATGTTTGAATTTAAATGTTACTCGTAAGATTGCTGCTGTCGTACTATAAATGATTCAAGTAGATGGTAACCTTTGAGAAACGCTTATAATGATATAATTATCTACTGATATATATTATAAACTGCCCTTTCAGCACAATATCAGCGCTGATGATGTATATAAAAGATAAGTTATTATTGCGTGTGAAGAAATGTTTCATTAGGTAAATTTAATGGTATTGTTATAAAGTTTGAAGTTTTGAAGATTTATATCCAAATATTTTAGACATGCTACAATTTTGGATATTACCTTACATTACAAATAATTTACTTGTTGGGTGTTTTTAAAGACAAATGTAAACAATTTTCTTATATCTTATACAACATATAAAACTTTATAGTATTAAATAGCTAAAATTTAATTTTTTGATTGCGTGAGCTGTTATTATAGATAAGAACTTTTTCTAAAAATGCATTAAGATGTTATTTTATTACAAGATTTGGTATAAGAATTAGATTAATTAAACAAATTAAGACGAATTATATCATACTAATGTATCAAGTTTCTATAATAAATGTGACAATCAGAAATTATAACTTTGGAACGTTTCAGCAATATCGCAGAATAACATTCGTGGAACTATACTGAAAATACACCCATGTGTGCCCTTAAGTTATAGAAATGATGAGCCACCTTCTATAAAATTAAATGGACGTTATAGATGTACTTACTAAGATAAGAAAAATTATTAGGCTTGAGTGTATGATTATAATAAAAAAAATTATCTATGGCTTAAGTGTAACGTGTGAAATGACAGTTTAAGTACTGCAAATAGGTATGAAATGGTTGAATTACAAAATAGGGTGCTTTTGCAAAAGATAATTTCTTCAACTTTGAGAAATTAAAATAAGCTTCGATCGTATCGATCTTGCATTTCATTACTACATTGATTTTGTGGTTTGATTATATAAATTGCAATTCACTCACGAAAAATTAAATCACACATCCAAATTTGCAAAACTTAAATGCACTAATTATCGTACACTCAAATGATTAATTTTATTTTGATAAATGTCTATAAATAGGTACAAATATTTAGAATACAAAATGTTTTGTTTGTCATAATAGCAAATGGTGTACTGATTAATTTAATTTTAATATTAATTATCGGTGTCAACTGTAACTATTTGTCTGTCTGTATAACATATGGAAATCAAAGTACCTATTATAAGATAAAGCTATTTTATTTAAGGGCTATTAATATACACATAATTAGTTGTATCCCACTGTTAAATTAGTATTAAGACAAGAAGTTATAAGGCAGTGGTATGTCCAAAAACCTTTAATGCTATGTGATACTGAGGATAATATATCGTTTGTACTGACAGAGATGAACGATATTTTAATACAATTTAATAAGAGTTGCAAAGGAACCGTCTCAAATTGTAGCACAAATTTTGTCACCGTTTTCATCTTTAGTAAAATACCATCGGCTATAACTTCAATTGCGATTAGCATATTTCATTTTACGAGAGGCGGCAATGTTTTAGGTGTCAAAGGAATGACGCATTTGTTTTCACAGGCATGCTTTGTGTTTTTATGTAACATTCGTAGGTGTTTTTAGGGCCTAATTAAGGCATTTATTGGCAGAATGTGCGCTTTATTACGGTAATTGATCGGCATCTTTGCAATTCAGAAATGGCAGAAATAAGTAATGTTTGTGACACAAAAAGGAAAAGCTATGTTAAGATAAGTAAAGCATAGCGTTTCTTAGTTGTGAAAATAGATATAGAATGCGTAGCTAAACGTAATTCAGCACAACTGTAACTTTTACGAAATAAATATTAAATATTTATTGAATAACTGATAATTTTCTGTTGTCACCTAAAAATTCCAACTTTGACTTCGAAGGAAATGGGGGAGATGGGGGCGGGCTCATGATTATAAAGAGCCCCCAGCTCCTGTTACTTACTGGCAAGCACTGAAGAACCGATATTGTCCAATTAATAATACTATAAAAATACAACAACAAAATAATGATAATAGAACTTCCTTTGAGAATTATTGTATTCACAAAGATAGGGACAAATCCATTCACAATTCTGGTATTTTGGAAAAATCCTGAAGCACGTCGATTAGTATTGCCACCCATTATTAGCAGTAATAGTTATTTACATGATTAGTGCGGGAACAGTTATTTTGAAGATGAGCGCGAAGTTTGGCGGCGCGAGTGCGCAACGCGCACGAGCGACGCATCTCGCGCGAATCAAGCAAATACTGTTCACGCACGTAAAATGAATTCTATTTTTTGCACGGATTAGTTAAATCGAATTTA